CATCCTACAAAATGCTGGGATTACAGGTATGCTCTATTATGTCTGGCTTGAGGCCTGTGTCTTGAGGTCAACAAAATGATTACAAGAATTCAAATTATGGGCTGGCGGAGTAGCTCAAGTAGTAGCACACGTGCCTGGCAAGCCACAAACATGAGGCCCTGAGTTCAAACCCCAGTACTACAAAAAAAAAAAAAAGAATTCAAATTACATGCAAGCATTTATAGATACTGAGAAATGTACTAGCTCTGCTCAATTTAAACAAATAGTCTTTAAAAATGAGCCTTAACTCACTCAGTTCAACCTCTGACCATGTGAAGTCAAGCTATTCCCAGTCCGTACAGATAAACCTCACCTTTCCCCATTACTCATATCCTTGAAAATACACTATTATAAAAAAAAAGAAAATACACTATAAAACCAGATCATGATAAAGTGAATTGAGTGTAACCTTAACAAAGAATGTGTAACAAATCATAATGAAATTCCAGAAGGTATCAAATAGCATAGCTACAATTAAACCATAATTAAAAATAATAAAAATCCATGTTAAGTCTGGCAAAATGGACACAAATAGGCTTCTTTTTTGGTGGGAAAAGGTTTGAACTCAGGACTTCAGGGGTTCTACTGCTTGAACCACACCTCTAGTCCATTTTGCTCCTGTTATTTTGGAGATGTGGTCTCATGAACTATTTGCCTGGGCTGGCCTCAAACTGTGATCTTCCCAATCTCAGCCTCCCAAGATTACAGGCATGAGCCACAGTTGCCAGCCCTGTCCATGCTCTTGACTAACTAATTTACTGATCCTCAACTTATGTAATCTTGTCCCCTTGCCAAATGTCTGTCCAACTATATGCTAACCAATGTCCTCAATACATTGATCTTTGACCCTATCTCTGCAACTTAACAGCTATTTGAATCTTGTGTAAATTCTTCTGAGAAAACTGTTTCCTCTTTGCTAAAATCCCAGAAATCAAAACCCAGAAGCTCTGTTTCTCTCTCTCTTTTTTTTTTTGAGAGAGGGTTGTATGATGTAGTACAGGCTGGCCTCAAACTCATGATCCTCCTGCCTCAGCCTCTTGAGTGCTGGTATTCCAGGTGTGCACTGTCATGCCCAGTTTAGTTTCTCCCTTCTTTAATCTATTCTGTAACTACCACACAAAGCAGAAAGAACAGAACATGCCTGTAATCCTAGCTACTCAGGAGGCAGAGAACAGGAGGATTGCTATTCCAAAGAATTCCAGGCAAATAGACTGTGAGACCCTATCTCAAAAAAACCCATCACAAAAAAGGGTTGGTGGAGTGGCTCCAGGTGTAGGCCCTGAGTTCAAACTTCAGTACCACAAAAAAAAAAAGAAAGAAAAGAAAAAAGAACAGGCCAGCTTTTAACACAGTAATAAAACATGTACCACTTGTACCTCTAACAAATATAAGCTCAAATATTTAATATGTGAAATTTAAAAAGTGAAAGAGCTGGGTGAAAGGCAAGAGGATCATGAGTTTGAGGCCAGCCTGGACTACATAGGGCATTTCAGGCCAGTCTGGACTATGAGACCCTGTCTCAAAAAAAAAATAGAGAAAGAGAAAGACAGACAAACAGACAGACACCCTCCTGCCTCTACCTCCAGTATAGCTGGGACTACAGATATGAACAACCACACATGGCTCATATAACAAATTAAAAAATAAAATATGAGATAACTGATTGAAAAATATAGGTTTGGGGCTGGAGGCATGGCTCAAGTGGTGGAGTGCTTGTCTAGCAAGCACTAGATCCTGAGTTCAAACTCCAGTATCACCAACAAAAAAAAGATGAATATAGGTTTTGAATATCTGGAATCAAATAGCCCAAAATTGTACAAGCAAAGAGAGTGTGACATAGAATAATATGTAGGATAAATAAAAATTGTATTTTGAAAGACTTTTTATGACACAGGAAATGCTCACTACAGAATGTTGAATGGAGAAAAAGAATTTAAACAATCTATATACAACATGATCCTAATTATTTATCCTATTCCAAATTTCATAAATTTTCTATAGCAAACACCTATCTCTTTTACAAGTTAAAATATTCAAACTGCCTTTTTTATGTTTAATTCAACAGAATAAATATAGCAAACAAACTGTGAAAAAAGAAAAGAAATAAGGAGGCACTGAAAGTCACAATCCCACAGCTAATTGCAAACAAAGTGAAGCCAAAATCCGGGTCTCCTCTGGCATCTAATCCAGGGTACTTTCCATTGTACCACCGTGGAAAGCTCAATATTAATTTGTTTTTACTTTCCACTACTGTTTCTGCCTCCTGATATCTACTGACACAGTGACCTTAAACAGTGCTAACAGATTACATTTTATAATACTATTACCAGATTACCCCACAGAGATAAAATTTAAGAACTGACAGCTCAGGATAATCTCCAAGCTTCAAAATAACAAGGCCATCTATTTTAGCACATCCATCTTTTTTATTTTTGGTTTTTTGAAATAGGTTCTCACTACGTAGCTTGGGTTGGCCTTGAACTCTCATCCTCCTGACTCAGCTTCCTTCATAGCTGGGATGACAAGGGTATACCACCACAGCCTACTGATTGTCCCAATACCATATTCACCTTTGGAGCCCTACCACAAAGTACTGGCACATATAGGATAATAGGTGCTTAATAACTGTTTATTTCATAAAACATAGGATTTTTTTTTTCCATTGTAGCACTAGCCATCAGACTTAATTACTACACCAAACAAATACTGTGAAATCTCTTTACTGTACATTTGGGGTCTCCAACATTTAAGTTAAGAGGATGAATTAAAGGAATTAATGTTATAATGTACCCCTACCCAGCACAGCAATTTAAAAAAAAATAATGTTTACAACAAAATACAAAGGAAACATTTACATTAATTAAACATTTTAAGTACTATAAAATTAAATTGGTACATTAATTACAATAATTATTGGCTATTAGTGTAGGTAGAATCATGGAATGTACTAGAAAGAATAAAATTACAGGTGTAGTATAAGGGGTGCTGGATTAGGACACAAGCTCTGCTAATAATTAGATATATAACTTTGCGCAATTTGCTTTTTCATTTTTGAGTCATAATGCCTATTTGTAAAAACAAAAGAACTGAACTCCTAATCACTGAGGAACTTTTCCAACCCTATTTTTGGTTCTGGGGACTGAACCCAGGGTTTTATATATGGTAAGCAAGTGCCTCTACTATTGAGTTACATTCCCAATCCCTTAAACTTTTTTAAAAATAATTTTTATTCACTTTGTCAAATTTGATATTCTGAATGTTATAGCTTAGCCCATTTTCTAAAAATACATAGACTGCTATCATTATTTTTATCATCTTACACTAATAAGGAGCAATAGGATAAAACCAAAGGAGAATCACAAGTATCCAATACCGAAACCTGTTTTGTCAGCTGAGCTGATACAAAGCACCCTGAATTTTACAGTACAAACCATTGAGATATAAGTACATATATGTGTACAAACATTTATACTTACTAAAGGTGTATACTTATGTTGGCATATATACATATGTGTGTGAACTTTAAACTTGCTCTTAATCATAAAGTCAATACTCACTTTTACCGTAAGTAATTCAAACATACATTAGGTCACATGCCAAGTGCAAAGTAAAAACTCCCATCCATCTTCTCCTCCACAAATAATCACTAGTATCATTGTTCCTGTGTATCTTTCAAGAAATTATTTGAGCCAGTACAAGTATGAATGTGTGTATGTGCCTATGGATATAAATCTTTTTTTTTACTTAACCTGTTTTCACTTCTTAAATGGTGGGGAAAAATCTCAAGCATCAGCTTCTCATGCATGTTCACTACATAGAAAGTGGAGTAGTAACTAGCACAGAATAGTACACTTTTCAGAAATGTTAAATTGAATACATTAAATTTTCATGTTTGTAGGCTATGTGAAGCAATAGTACAGCAGTGGTGGCTAGAGAGCCAGACAAGTTGAAGTCTAATCTAACTCCCTGGATAGTCTTAGGCAAGCCATAGATTTCTGAGCCTTAGTTTCTGCTTTGTAAAACAAAAGGATTGGGCAAAGATCCTTTCCAACTCTAAAATGTTGTAATTCTAAGATGGCCGTCTATAGCAGTGTTCTCTTGAACAAGCTGTAACGAATGTTATTAAGGACAAAAAGAAACACTATCACAACCTCCAGTCTAAGAGTAAATTTCTAAGAGTCCTTAACTATTAAGGTATAGCTGTGACAGAACTTGTGACATAATTATATTTAAAGGCAAAGTAATAAATTATTAAAGTCAGGTAGTTTTTTTTGTTGTTGTTAAACAAAGCTTTGGTTAACGTTTTTCTTTTTGGAGGTGGAGAGGGCTATTGCTTAGTTTCAGCAATCACCACTCTCCTCCCTCCAAAAAATGAAAAAAAGCCCCAAAGAATCAGCAACCCAAAATTTAAGGTGAACTGTGAAGTTAAAAAATGAAACTGGAAGTCAAATGACATTTTATGTTACAGAATATGCTGGAGAGGTGACTAGAGCAAGCAAAGGTTGGAAAGAAATACCCACTAATTTCCTCTTCCGGAAGCTCTTTGGCCCCTATTCTTTCTGTTTCACACGCCCTTGCTAGACACACACAACCCAGCCTCACACAGCCACCGGCATCAGATTGGGGATGGGAGGGGAAGATTGAGGAGGGAGTTCCCTTTGATCATATAAAAAAGTTCTTTGACTCGATTTACCTTACGCTTCACGAGGCTTAAGGAGGCACACCCGGGGGCCCCAAGTCACCCTCCCGCCCACGCCTTCCTCGGGCAGTCCCGGAATATGGGCAAAGAGCCCCATTTGGGCATCCCCGGTGGGCGGGCGCGGCCTTCCCGCCCTCCCCAGCAGAGCCAGGCTCGAGGGGAGGGGAGAGAAGGGGAGGGGGGAAGGAAGGGGAGGGAAGAGGAGGAAAACGGGGTGGGGGGGGTTGAAGAGGAAGGGAAAGACCACAAGAGCTGTACCCACCGCGCTGAGAGAGCCGGCCTCAACCGCCAGCGGCGATCAGCTCGGTCCCGAGGGGAGGGTCCCGGAGGAGGAGCGGCCCAAGCCCAATCTGGAAATGCCAACTCCGCTCTCGGCCCCTGCCTAGGAGAAGGAAACGGAAGTCCCTTCGTTCCTTCGCCTCCACCAACCAGCCCGGTTCCCCACGGAACCCGGAGTCCGGAACGGAGTGCGTCCACGTCTGGGCCTCAAAAGAGTCACCTGGCACAGTCCGTCAGTCTCCTTGGCCCAGGCCACGCCACTGGGCCCTGACCTACTCCTTCCCACCTCCCGGCTGGGAGGTCAGCCTCCCGCCCAGCAAAGCCCCTCCTTCCTCGCCACTCCGCCATTTTCAAACTTACCCCTTGGGCCTGGGCTTCCCTAGGTTAGCGCCGCGCCTGCTCCGGGCGCCGCCAAGGTCCCTCCACCTCCCAGAACCTGAAGGGGGTAGCCACAAGAAACGAAGCCCTTTTCATACCCCCCCACCCACATACCCGCCCCCCCAGCTTGAAAACAGAACCTGACTAAGCGGGCGCACATGCGCAGTGGGCACCTCGTAGTCCCCGCCCCCAGCTTGTTCTTTTAGCCTGTGGAATATTTTTTCCCATGGTTTTTACCTGCTAGACAGAGATGAAAGGATGGGGAAAAGGAGGGAGCGAGTATGTTGACTTTTTACTGTGTACCAGGCACTGTGCTAGGCATATAACGTGTTCTTTGTTGCAATTTTGACAACCTTGTAAGTTAGACTCTCTTATTAAACCCATTTTACAGAGAAAACTGAGGCCCTAAAAGAGTAAGTATCCCAGCATCATCCTGCTGATAAATGAGGAAGCTGATAGTAGAATGCGATCTGAACGCTTCTCAACCTTTTGGCTAAGATCAAGTGTAGAATCAGATCTTTTTCCAAGGAGGGAAAAATGAACGGAATGACGAAGAGACAGAGGGGGTGAGAGTGTTGGAATTAAGAGAAAAAGGGGAAATTGATAGGGGAGAAAAAAGGCAGGTGGAGAGGAAACACAGAAAGTCTTTGTACACAAAATACCAATCATACCCCCATGCTTATCTCATATATTGTACAATTGTCTGAACGACCTATGAATATTTTCATAATGTGGACTCGTACTAGCTAGTGTAGTGAGATAATGGGCTCTGAATATTTCATTTGAAAGGGATAATTACCTGCATTGTCAAACAACACTGTCCTTCATGAAAAAGGAACTTGGAGGAAAGAATTTTCCTTTTTGGTCCTTGGGCTTTTGCAAGATATTATTTCTTCTGATCCTTTCTCCCTGTTACAGCTCTGGGAATCACATCTTGGCTTATTGCAATAATAACCAAATATTTATCTTACTTAATTCTAACAATTCTTTTCCTTTTTTTGATGTGACTGGAGTTTGAACTTAGGGTTTCACACTTGCAAAGCAGGTGCTTTACTGTGTCAGCCACACTTCCAGTCCATTTTGCTCTAGATATTTTGGAGACCAGGGCTCTAGAACTGTTTGCCTGGGCTGATGTCAAACTGTGATCCTCCTGATCTCAACCATCCTCTTGCCTCAGTCTTCAGAGTAACTGGGACCGCTCATCTCCATTTAAAAGATGAGGAAACAGGTTTACAGAGGTTAGGTGACTTGACCAAAGTTATGCTGCTAGTCTGTGTAGAAACCAGAACAGTGATTCAACCCCAGATATGTATAACAGATCTGTCTGACCATTGCCCAGTCTGCTAACTTATTTCTCTGTTCCTGACTGATCCCCCCCCAAAATCTAGCTTGCACAAGGTTATCTGAGTTAAATCCTTCAGTACTGCCTCCAGGATAATATTAAATCTCCTTAGCCTCTAGGGCATGTTACCTTATCTTCTAACAAAACAGAACTACTCATGTTACTCCTGTCCTTTCCTGCCTCCATTACTTTATTCAAACTGCTCCTTCTGCCTAGGTGAATAGACTGACTCTATGCAAAACCTTCTGTGATTCACTTAACTGAAGATTGTCTCTTCATCTTTGAACCCTTCTGGTCCTAGAATTTTTTTATAGTACCTTGGTAAAATGTGCATAAGATGTATCACTTAAGTTCACTGGCGTTAAGTACATTTGCACTGTTGTGCAATCATCACTACCATCCATCTTCCAAAGTTTTTCATCCAACTTTGTGCTTATAGTTGGTCCTTTGTTATGGAGCACAGAGCTTTATGCCATGTAGTACAGCTACTTGTGTATGTGTCATATCTCTCCTGTGTCGTATACTTATTTATGGCAAGACCTATGACAAACTCATTTTTGTAATTCTTCCAAACCTCTTAGTCGTCTTTAATTCCTCTCTCTCATCCCACATCCAACACCAGCAAATGCTAACATTGCTATCTTTAAAGTGTACCCAGAATATCACTAATTTTTTTTTTTTGGTGGTAGTTGTGGTACTGAGGTATAAACTCAGAGCCTCTCACTTGGTAGACAAGAGCTCTACCACTTGAGCCGCAACCCCAGCCCTTTCTTGCTCTAATTATTTTTTGGATAGGGTCTCTTATGTTTGCCTGGGGCTGGCTTGGTCTGCCATCCTCCTACCTATGCTTCCCTTGTAGCTGGAATCACAAGCATGCACTACCATGGCTGGCTGAGATGGGGTTTCACTAACTTTTTGCGTGGGCTGACCTCAAACTACCATCCTCCCAATCTGTGCATTCCAAATACCTGGGATTACAGATGAGAGCCACTGTACCCAACCCAGAACATCACTAATTCTTTTATTTATTTTATCATTTTTACAATTTACTTACATGCATTCAGTGAGTTTATGTCAAATCAACCTTGTAATATTGTTGTGTCTGAAACTTTTTTTTGGCGGTACTGGGGTTTGAACTCAGGGCCTACACTTTGAGTCATTCCACCAGCCCTTTTTTTGTGAAGGTTTTTTTCAAGATTGGGTCTCAAGAACTGTTTGCCCAGACTGGCTTCGAACTGCGATCCTCCTGGTCTCTGCCTCCTGAGTAGCTAGGGTTACAGGTGTGAGCTACTGGCACCTGGCTTTGAAACATTTTTAAAATTACTAACATGTCTACATGCAGAGCTGAGCAGAAATAGTTTGAGCCAAAGGTTAAGATAGCAAAGGCAGAGATGCTCAGCTTTTCTTATTGTTTTAGTCATGTATCAGAAATCTGCAGGACAGGGCTGGTGGAGTGGTACAGTGCCTACCTGGCAAGTGTGATGTCCTGAGTTCAAACCCCAGTGCCACCAAAAAAGGAAAGAAAGAAAGAAAAATCTGCAGGACAGAGTGAAGATAAGGTGCTCTCAGTCAAAGTAAACTTGAAGTCGCTAAAAAGTAACCTAGGCAACCATTATGTTATCATGAGAAACCCATGCATCAGAGGTATTATCTACAGTAAAACTAATGGGAAAAATAATATATTGCTCAGTTGTGTGACCTCCAAAAGTAGAGACTCTTTTATTTTGAAAAATATTGAAATATTGAAAAAATATTGATTTCACAGGAAATCAATGTGAGTCAATGCCCTGTATAGCTATCCTTATCTCAACCAGCAAAAACCCTTGTTCCTTCCTATTATTGCTTATACTCTCTCTGCAACAAAATTAGAAATAAGGACAAAATAGTTTCTGCTGGGTATTGAGGGGGGGGAAGGGAGGGGGCGGAGTGGGTGGTAAGGGAGGGGGTGGGGGCAGGGGGGAGAAATGAACCAAGCCTTGTATGCACATATGAATAATAAAAGAAAAATGAAAAAAATATTGAAACTTATTAATAATGTGCAATAGCACATATTTAATTCAACCAGTTCTCTATTGTACACAGTGACTGAGTGCTCAAGGATTTGAGATGATCCACATTTGGCCACACCACAAAGATTAAGATTCACTGTATTCACATCAAGTGAAGCAGCATGAACCAAGTGATGTCAGCCTAGTGCTAGGAACACAGTCAATGTGCATCTGCAGCATTCTTTTTTTTTCAAGGTATCTAATATTTCTTTTTTTATTTTACATTTTGGCATTTATTCACATGTGTATACATAGTTTGGGCCACCTTGCCGCCCCCCCCACTTCTGAGCAGAACATGTTCCGGCCTCTTGTTCTCCGATTTTGTTAAAGAGAAAACATAAGCGATAATAAGAAAGACACAGTATTTTTGCTAGTTTGAGATAAAGATAGCTATACAGAGAGATTTCTAGCATTGCTTCCATGCACATGTGTATTACAACCCACATTGGTTCATCTCTACCAGACCTCTTCACAGTCTCCTTCCTATAGTGGCCTCTTATCAGTTTAAGATTACTTTATTCACTCCTCTATGGTGAGCACATTAAGCACATTCAAGTTTTAGGTTTCCTTCCTCCTGTGCTCATTCTCCCCTTAGTGTGTGACCCATGTCCAATAATATTACTGCATTTGTTTTAGTTCTATAATCCACATATGAAGGAGAACATGCAATTTTTGGCCTTCTGAACCTAACTAACTTCACTTAAGACGATGTTCTCTAGTTCCATCCATTACCTGCAAATGACAAAATTTCATTCTTCTTTGTGGCTGAATAAAATTCCATTGTGTATAAATACCACATTTTCTTAATCCATTTGTCGGTAGTGGGGCATCTTGGCTGTTTCCATAACTTGGCTATTGTGAATAGTCCTGCAGTAAACATGGGTGTGCAGGTGCCTTTGTAATAACCTGAGTCACATTCCTTTGGGAATATCCCTAGGAGTGGTATTCCTGGATCATATGGCAGATCTATATTTAGTTTTTTAAGAAGCCTCCATACAACATAGTGGTTGTACTAGCTTACATTCCCACCAGCAGTGTTTGAGGGCTCCTTTTCCCCCGCATCCTTGCCAACATTTGGTGGTGGTGGTGTTTTTGATTATAGCAATTCTAACAGGAGTGAGGTGGAATCTTAGCGTGGTTTTGATTTGCATTTCCTTTATGGCCAGGGATACTGGGCATTTTTTCATGTGTTTTTTAGCCATTTGGATTTCTTCCTTTGAAAAAGTTTTGTTTAGTTCAGTTGCCCACTTCTTTATTGGTTCATTGAACTAATTCTTATTAACTCCTTTATCACTCCATCAAAGTCTATATCTCTCTTAGACTTTAATAGTCTCCTCATTGGTCTCCCAGCTTATGTCCTTGCCCTCTCCATTCTTCATACAACAGCCAGAGTTATCCTCCTAAAACATAAACCACCTCATTTATCTGCTCAGATCTTTTATTTATTTATTTATTTATTTGGTGATGCTGGGGCTTAAACTTGCTCAGCTCCTTTAATTAACTCCTCATTTCATTCAAAGTAAAAGCTATAGATTAATAGTTAGTTACAAAGGCTATGGTGCCAGCGGCCAAGATGACCCTGAATGATCTTCATCTCATGCTAGTCACGCCCTTGCATATTTCTCTTCTTCACTGAACCAGGGTTGACCTGTGCAATTGATGGAATCTAGTGTAAGTGATGATGTGTGACTTACAACACTGGATCATAAAAGACATTGTGTTTTCTGCCTTACTCTCTTTTGAATTGGTTTCTGTGGAAGAAGCCAAGCATCATGGCATGAGAATACCAAACAGGTTGGAAGAGGTCCAAATGGGGTGAAACTGAGTCATCCCATCTCCTCAGCTCCCCCAAAAGCCAAGCAGGACAACTTGCCAACCATGAAAGTGAGTCACTTTGGAAAAGGATACTTCAGGCCCTGACTTAAGATAACTTCAACCTCTTGAGATCCAGAGCCAGAACTACCCAACCAAGCCATTCTTGAATTTATGTGCATTGTTGTTTACAATAGCTAAATTTTAGGATGATTTATTACATAGTAATAGATAACTAATACAAAGACCCTGCACAGTCTTGATCCATATCACCTTTATTTCCTGATCTCCTGCTACTCTTCCCCTTGTTCCTTTACAATCCCTGTATCAGTGCCTTTGCACTTACTATTCATTCTGCCTGTAACACTGCTCCCCCAATATTTCCTTCACCTCCATCATTTTTGCTTAATTGTCACCTTCTCCAAAAGTTCTACAGTGAGCACCGTATTTAAAATTATAACTCCTAGAGCTGGGATATAACTCAGAG